TGTGTGTGTGTGTGTGTGTGTGTGTGTGTGTGTGAGGAGGAGTGAACTCAGCGTCGTCAGAGGAAAGTTTACAGCGGCTCAGTTCAGCGGAAGTGAACTGCGGTGAACAGGTGTCAGCAGCTCTGTTGTTGTGCGACTCGCTGTAAAGTAAAGTTTGAGCAGAGGACACAGAGTTTGAATCGGTCAGAAGAGTTCCAACATGTCGAGCCTCCGACCCAGACTGTGCAAGCTGGAGAAAGAATCCAGCGGCTACGGATTCCACCTGCACGGGGAGCGGGGCAAGACCGGCCAGTTCATCCGGCTGGTGGAGCCCGACACCCCGGCCGCCGCGGCCGGGCTCCTCGCCGGCGACCGGCTCGTGTTCGTGAACGGGGAGAACGTGGAGGGCGAGAACCACCAGCAGGTCGTCGCCAGGATAAGAGCCACCTCCGGGGCTCTGGAGCTCATCGTGGTGGACGCGGAGACCACCGAGCTGCTGAAGAAACACGGGCTGCAGTGCCGGAAAGAGTTCGCCACGGAGGGGATCCCTCTGCCCGGCGGGGACGGCGACTCGGAGCGGGCGGACGCACAGAGCAACGGCACCCCGAGGGAGTCCAGCCCTGTCCCGCGGGAGAACGGGGACACGTCCTCGGAGAGGCTGAGTGTCAGCTCCAGCAACAAGGTACGGAAAGTCCCTCTGTTTAACCCACTGCACACTTCTATCATGTGTTTGTTTCCAGGTTTCAATATATACAGCAGAATATTATTTAAAAAGAACTATTTGACTTGGAATTATTGTTGAATCACTGAGTTTCGTAGTTCAGAAACTGTTTCTTCAAAAACTATCCAGATGGAAATGTGTGTTTTTTGGAAACCCAGCGTTTTTATACCTGATAAATGAAGGTACTTCACAACATCAGTGCGTGAGTAATATTTAAAAAATGATATCGTCATAAACACATATAGATACTTGTTTTGCAGAATCTTTTACAATGGCCAATACATCCATATATCTAACACATACAAATAATATAGGAGTCAGATCAGTCAGATTGAACAGCAACATGTCAGAGCCCCTGGTTTGTATCCTCTTATGGAAGTCAGCAGTACCTGTGAGCTGAAGAGGATACATGGGAATAGGTTCCCTACCAAGTGGCCACTAACAGAGAGGTGACAGATCACAGCGGAACGCTCCAGGCCTTGACTTATTCCTGTGGAATCTTTTCTTCGTCATATAAATTTACAGGAATCTATCTGCTTCCCGTTTTTAATTGCCCGTCAAGTTGGGCTTGTTGGAACAGATGCCTTGCCAAACAGATGCATGTCAGTGAGACACCTCTTTCTAACACCATTAGCGCTTTAAGAGATATGAACTGACATAATGGAATAAGAATGATCTTATTGCTTGACCAGATGTTCAACGATTTGAAATGTCTTAATAATCTTTGTAGAAAGGCCCTTTATTTCGTAACAATACTAATTGTCTGGCTTCCTATCCTGGAATGTGAGACTGCGCCACATTTAAAACTGAAGTACATTGCTAACTTTTTTTCTTAGGTTCACCATAATCCTGCGTCTGTGAAAGAGCAGGCTTTTTTTGTCGGTTATAAAACAATTTCATAACATTATTCTTTCAAAGGCTTGTAAACCCTGATTTAAATGTTGTGTAACAGCAAAATAGCCTCATTGAGGAGGTGTTAAGCTGTGAGGGACTCTGAACCAAACCTGGTTGGAATATTACTCAGGGGGGTGTTTCCAGATGATTAACTTTACGAGCTGACCATGCAGTCATATGGGTCAAAAACAACAAGACTCTGGTCTGATATCCAAGATATCTTCACAAATAATTAAAAGGGAGACAATCTAAAGCTGGTATTGGTCTGAAAACGATTGCTCATCATATGATGGCATTTCATGATTGAAGAAAGACATGAAGAAGTCACAAAATGATGTCATGTAGTGAAAATCTCTGCATCCAATAGGACTTTAGACACAATCTAAAGCTGTTATAGACTATAAAACAATTTATGATCACAAAGTAGGTGTGACGTAATCAAACGAAATATATTTACTGAAAATTCTTACTTAGTATGAATAACAAATTAATGAATCATAATGAAATAAGATTTTTACAATGTAAAAAAGTATTGCCTGATATATATACGGAAACTGCATCAATCAACTGATAATGAACAAAAACATGTATAATAATATATTAATATAGCACCTTTAAAAACAGGGTTTACAAAATGCTTTGACAGACAAAGCAGACAGAAGATACTCGACCGACATTAATGAAAACAACTAAGAATTAAAAGCAGTAACTGAACGCGTCTACAAAATAACAGTATTTACAACGTTGATTAGAAGAAACAGTTTGTGACATAATGGAGGAGTGTGTCAAAGTATTTAAACATAAGAAAATGTCTGATAGAGATGAAGGGAGCAGCAATGACAATTCAATTGAGGAGTTATTGTCAGTTATGGTGTAGAGTATGTGAGTTGGCATATTATATATCAAGCAGTCTTGTTGCGATCATAGTCCACTCTATCTAGGATCACAATCTATGATATAATCCAAGAAGTTTTAGGCCTTAAAATGTCTAAAATACAACTTCGACAAGTCTTTAAAACGGATAGGAAGTTTTAAATATGTTTAGGTCTCTCCTGATAGGTTGCTTAAAGGTAAAGTGTGTAGAATTAAGTGATATCTAGTGTTGAAGTTGCATGTTGCAGCTGAACACCCCTCACCTCACCCTCTCCTTCCAAACATGAAAAAAGAACCTCTGGTAGCTTCAGTTGTCATAAAACTCAAAAGGTGTTTAGTTTGTCCAGTCTGGACTAATGTAAAAAACATGGAGGCCTCCGTAGAGAGGGTCCCCTCCATGTAAATATAAAGTATTTAAATATAAAGGGCCTTACACACTGGTGCTTTAAATCATCAGTGATGTATCTCTTCATAACACTAGTAGTTTCCATTTTAGCAGTGTGTGTTCCCATAACGTATACACAGCTGACACAAGACCTTAGAGAATTGGGGCGGCCAACAGAAATAAGTCCCGATGCTGATTACGTAATAATTAAATTAAATTTGAAAGAGCAATCACCCCTGGGAGAAGTCCATCCAAAAGTCTGTCTTGCACTTAGTCAGTTCGACTTTCAGGCTTTTAGGGCTGTTCAGGCAAATTGAGCTACTTTTAGGATTGTTAAGTTATAAACTTATTTTAAACCACCACCAAATGTCTGCTATCACCCAATATGGTTTGTATTCACTTGTATTTGAAGGTTACTCTGGACACTAAAAATCAGTTAAGCATTGAAAGAAAAGTTAACTGAGATCAAGAGCACAGAAGAGGGGACTGCAGCCAAGGGAGAAGAGCTCAGATTAATAAAGCCCAGTTCTTGAGTACACACAGAGCATGACTAATGGTCTGATACCAGCCTCCCAGTGGGAAACACTCGAGTGGGCTGGCCACTGATGACGTAAAACTAGCCCTGCTGAGCATAACAATGTTAAAACAATTGTTTCTTTCACATCTTTGTCGGTGGTTACACTTGGTATTGCAGTCCAGGGCTCAGTCAATAACCTGTCGTCGCTCTAAATATACCCGAAACCTTTATGATGCTAGTCTTAACAATGAGCTGGACATCTTATTCTGCAGAGATTGCCTCTTTTTTTTCCGGAAGATAAAAGCTTGAACTGAGTGAGCATGTCATCATATTATGGTAACATCCTGGCCTCCAGCGACTCAGTCCTCCAGCACACCAAGAACTCTGTTGGTCACCATAGAGACTCCCAGCAGCAGAAAGAGAAGAGGCTTTTGTCAGCAGTGTTTGCATGGGGAGAAAGACTTCTAGGCCAGGGAGGGAAAGCAGAGAGGGCTCTCACGCCTCAACAAGGAGGCCACACTGACCCTGAAATACCTACACCCTCACTTTACATACGCTGTCAATGGGGCTGGAGTGGAATGAGGATATGTGTGTGTGTGTGCATGAAATAACAGTTTGTTCTCTATACTTGTAGATGTGAAAATGTCAAATAAATGATGAGATAATAGGATCATAGATGAATGGGTGTTCAACGAGTGGAGGCGAGGTTTAATTTAATGAGGTTCGGGACCAAACAAAATTAGTTGCTGCCATTTCACTGCTGTGAGGTAATTTGCACCGCTGCTTTTTTTATGTCAGAGAAAATGTGTTTGCTGGTCAGCTTTTAATCGACAATCCATTGGTTACACAAGACACTGACCTTCCACATTTACCCTATTGTCAACAACACTTTTCACCCTGTGTTTCTTTGCACTCTATAAAACCTGGATGCATATGCTCTGAGTGAAGGCCACGAGGCAGCGCTCATCTTTCCAAGGGATCATTTCTTCTTCAGTGTTTCACAACATATCTTATCACTCGGTTAATAGAAGCCACGGAAATAGCAATTAATCTGCCACTTTGCTGAGTCGGGACTGGAGAAGCGACTGCTGTAGATCAAGATTACCTCGATGTTACTCAACGTGGCTGCAGTTGGTTTACTCCCTTGACTGAAGGTTTGCAACCAAAATCTATGGTATCAAACCAAAAACATTACAATCTGGACTTCTTTAGTACTGGTGCTGCAATCAATGATTCTAATCAAGTGTCTCATGCAGAGACATGACCACAAGCATTTTGCTTATGTGCTAATGCACTGATGAGTTGTGAGTCATGCTGTTGCTTTACAAATACTGGACT